TGTGGTGTAATAGCTCAACATAAGAACAAACTGTAAAAATCAGTTTGACATGACTAGACTCATCAGATGGGCACGAAGATTACTCGCAGTTACTGGAAGGTAGTTCAAAGCCAATTTCAACTAATAAATAATCATGTTCTCCCAGACTAAAGTACCAATGAGTACTCTTCCACATGCAGTTTTCTATGAAGTGTTTTTTTCTAGATTTTTTATCATGGTTTTGTCGATCTTCCTTTAACAAATCTTTTTTTTTTATAAATATATTGAATATTTTTTTATTTCAAGAACTGGTACTTTTGATTTTTAGAAAATGATCGCATCAATGCTATTCCATATCAGCACAGGAGTGTCGTAAATTTTGTCATTGATCCCATATCACCATTCATTTGTCTAGCATGCGTTATTACCTTTTTACCATGTTTTTTGTCTAATCACCTTGGATTTATATTTATCAACGAATATGGTGACCATACCAACAGTCTTTGTTACCAAGTTTATGTTAATTCGATCCGACAACTTTCACTTATTTACTTAATGACTTTCAATTTTTCATTGTTTTAATGGGCCCTTATTTTTTTTATTTTTGGGGCCCTTTATAGCTTGCTGTTCGGTGTGAGCCAAGGCTCCGGGTTGAAGACCGTACTTTGACCTATAATGGTTTACTTTTATAAATTTTGATTTAAATGGAGAGTTGTCTCATTGGCACTCATACCACATCTTCTTATATCTATTTAATGAGTTTTCATATATAACAAATCTATTGCAATATTACAAAAAAAAGCTATGTTTAATTAAATGATGGTCATACATGTACATACATACCTGATTGCATGTAATGGTAAAATGAATATTCTGTTATCTGGGTGACCTCCATACATAAATAATAGTTGTAGTCACCAGGGACTCCTGATACAGTGGCTGCTACTGTTTCGGTTGTTCTGCGGAATAAGCAAGTACGAATGAACATATCGAAAATATAATTGAACACGGTTTCCCCTTTAGAATATGTTCACACGTAACCTGTTATATGTTAATTCAAAGAAAAATGACTGTATTTTAAATAAAAAAATATGTTTGAACTTTTTTCTTGTTAACTTACTTTGACACCGTGTTTCCCGCCACACTTTTTTTTTTATTTGGGATACATATGATCAGCCTGAAATTTATATGTAAAATCAATGCCTATAATAAGTTATAAAAGATAACGAAATGATAAATTCCGATTTATAAATAAACAATAAACGGAAACATGATGTGATAGACAGAAACCAACGAAAAAACTAAATACTCCTGAAATGGGACAGACACATACAGAATATGGCGGGGTTAAACATGTTAGCGAGCGCACAACCCTCCGCTTACATTAGACAGCCATATATATATATGTATGACAAATATAAATAATGACAACTTTCCTTATCTTTGAAAAGGCATATTAGAATTCGATTGACTACAGTAGGTTTTTATGGTACACAAACTTCCATTTTTTTCCGAACAAGTGGAATAGCAAACGGTTCAGAAAAGAACACACATTTAAATCAATACAAGGGTTGATATCAGTATTACAAACGACAAACAAGTTATAAATATAAATAAAACAAATCAACAAAACAGCCACAACAGCACTACATAATACCGTATCAATAAATGCCAAATTTCATAATTGCTACTGAACACGTACATAATCTATTTAAAACTAGATTTAAGCAAAAAAGCTGAAATCAACTTCATATTTTTCAATGTTTCTGCGAGATAAAAAAAAAAGTCATTCGGGTAGACCGTATCTCTTAAAAATATATGATATTGCTCTGAATGCTGTGTTTTGTCTTATTTTTTTCGAATGAAAGAACTTTATAATAAAGACCACAAATTTCGCCGCCGCTAAAATTTACCTCCTTATGCTGCTACTAAAAATGAAAATAATCCTTTTGAATTCACAATTACATCGATAGTACAATACTTCCTTACTTAAGTATATATTTGTCCCCACTATTCATATAGCACGTGAGATTGGTTGTTGATCCTGATCGAGTAATGGAATACTGGCTCAGATACATTACAGAAGAACTGGGAAATTCCACTTGTATAAACTTGTTGTCATACCAAGTTCCTGTCATATAAGATGGCAATGTACAGTCTGCATCTACAAATATGAATACATAATTCCAATGTTATAAGTCAAGTCTTATTATATTGTTAATCGTCATCACAAACCAAAAATTTTATAGATGTATAACCCCGTTTCGTGACGTCATGAGTATGAATTCCTAAACAGACGAAATATTTCTGTATTAAAGTGTTGATGAAAATGTTTGATCTGTTAAGGATGTTCGCTACTCAGTTTCAAAATAACAAGCTTTTCATAACACTTGTAAATATTGATAAGGGATAAATAAGGAACTAAAAGAGCGAAAAAAAATTATAGGTCCGTATGCTTGTTTTTGAGATATAAGCTATTGAAAATTTTGCGGGAAAAATGTCTCTCTTGATTTTTCATAGCTTTATCATTGACAAGTTTTATTTGGCAAACACTATTAAAAATAACAAGGACTTTATAAGATTTTTACAAATGGCTTCTTATCCTGCATGTAAAAGATTTATGAAAAGAAAAATGAGTGTAAGTGGCAAAAATATTTTATGGTATCCAAATTGATAAAACTAGAGGAATCCAAAAATCTGACAAAAATTCAAAAACATGACTAGCGAACATCCTTAATACTTTAAGTGCATTTAATTGGAATTATAAGTAGAATTAATGTTGTTTTAACTGAGTTTATTTAAAAATTAAATGATTCTTTTTATAATATTATAGGTGTGTAAAAGCGTTGACCGAAGAACATTTTTTATGAAGCACGGAAGCGCTTCGTTTTAAAAACGGAGTGTCTATTGTTTCGGCTAGCCGGAAGAATATTTAAAAATCTCTATTTTTCCGCCCATCCGTTTGCGTATGCGCAAATTTTCAATATCAACATCAGTGTCATGTGGCGTGGAAAATGTCATGGATGAGGTGTCGAATTGCAAACTTGCGTATGCAATGGACGTTTTGAGAATTGGGAGATCGTGATTTATATTTAAAGATTTCCTAAAGAAAATTAGAGAGAATGTAATGGCTTTAAAACAAATTTCTATAGGACAGACTCCAGAAAAATAGCGTGTGCACGTACACTGAGAGGAGTAAAGCGTGAAATCAAATTGAAATTGCTGATTTTCCCCTTTTACGTTACCTGTATCAAAGGAAGCAAAACCCATAAAAACAATTCACAGGAAAACTACATAATGAAATCGATACTTAGATGCATTATTTCTAAGTTCTACTACAACGGAGATCTATGAACATGTACTGATATACCTGGACTGGGAAGAGTCATGATACCAGGGTTAGGGTGTACTGAACCCCCTTTTATTTTATTCTGTTTTATTTATTTTCTCAATAAAAAAAATATTATGATTTTGCTATCATAAACACATTCTTACTTTGGGGACAGTTTACAAGTGCATAACCTTTTCTTTTATTTTCTATGTGTTAAAAATTACCGAACATTTTAAATAAAAAATCGTGCAATATTATTTGAAGACAAGGAAATGATAAATTCAGGATCATCTTTAGGAATCATAGATTTTCATTGAAGTCATAAATCAGTGGGCAGACTCCTAACCTTGCAGGAAATTCATAGGTAGAACATAAAAAGGGGATAGGCATGTTTGCCCCCCCCCTCACCCCGTTCCCTTAGAATAAAAAAAAATCTGAATGATGTACCGTATAATATTAAGTAAATTTATTTGCATTTTGATTTGTTTTAGTAAATGGAAAATTTTTTACACAATTTTTTGCCAAGTGACTTTACTTCAAAAGTGTATATGCTGCATATCAATCGATGTTGATATTCTTCCTTTGATCTCATTTGAAAAGTTGTTTTTATTTACGAGGAATCGGCGTGTTCCATAGAAAAGCCAGTAGAAAAATAAATCAAAGTTGGTACCTGAGGAGCTTAATCCCATAATAATTCTGTTTTTTTTTCTTTCATTATTACTATTTACCAGAACGTTTTATCTTGAGTTTATAATCAGTAACGTGCGCGGAGAATGTTCAAAAATGAATGGTTCCAATTACCAGTGTTTGCATGGGAGGAAATTTTTTACGAGTACATTCTCCATTGGATGCTACAATAACCACTTAACCAAAAGCATATTCATTATTCATTGTTATGAATGGTCGGAATAGCATAATAGGAGAGAAAGGCTATTCTTCCGGATGGCCATAAGAATAGACATTTTGTGCTATTTTTCCGGCTAGCCGGAAGAGTAGCCACTGCCTTTTAAAAACGTGCACACGATCACTGCTTTTACATTCCTATAAAATTATAAAAAGAACCATTCAGTTCTTATAATTACATTCCGATGCTACAACTATATTAAATTAAGAGTTATATCAAGCCTTTCGTTTGTTTTTAAATGCACTATTTAACATTGTCACGGATAGCAGGTGCAGTCATAGCTGTTGTAATTTATGAATTACTAGTATATCCATCTTTTCGTTTGTTTCTCTATGGATTGTTTTAACATTTTCACGGATAGCACGTGCAGTCATAACTGTTGTAAATTATACGGAAATAAAACTTGATATTGGAGTGCCTAGTGATTGTTGTCAGCCAATCAAAATTACGGATTTCAATGAAACATACACGTAGTGTAATTATGTAAATTTAATGAGAAAAGATTTATGATTTGACTAACTTGAAAAATTCTTATTGGCAAATTGCATTCCTGCATTCAAATTTGTTGACTTGATTAAAAATATAGACCTTTCATGTTCTGCTATCTGACATTTCAAGATGGAGTATTTAAAGACTACAATACCACCTTAAGCCAAACAAAAAGAATGAATAGAGTTTATTCAATAATTTACTTAATCTAATAGAAAAATTACATAGAGCTCATTTTGAATAAAAAAGCATATTCACCGGAGAAAAAGTATATTCAGCGCGGGAAATTGTGTAAGCGGTTTATTTTTAGATTTCGGGAAATTCCCTATTTATATTATCCAATGAAAATTAATCTGCCATTTCTCACGAGACATTGTCGTCTGTTTACATCAACAACAAAAATGGCAGTTGTTGACACCGGCTCGTCTCAAAATGTACAGAAACAACGCTTTGCAAGTGTTAACGACGAAAAATGTCAACAAATTATAAGGGATAAAGACTCGATGAACACTCAAAAGGCAACTAAAAGATCAGTAAAGCTATTTACAAATTATCTCGAGGAGAAAGACATGCCTACTGACATAGAAAACTATCCTGTCAAAGAACTTGACAGTGTCCTATCAAAATTTTATGCAGAAGCAAGGAATAAAAATGGGGAGCTGTATAAAACGACAACATTAAAAAAACACTAGATACGGGATTAATAGATATTTAACTGAAAAAAGAGATATTGACATTCTCAAAGACCCGGACTTTATGAAATCAAATAAAATGTTCAAGGCGATGTCGGTTCAGCTAAAACGTGATGGCTTAGGAGGGATTGAACATTATCCACCAATTGATGAGGATCATATTAAGACAATATATAGTTCTCTAACACAAATGGATCTAGTGTCTCTTCAACACAAGGTTTTTGTTGATTTAATGTTGTACTTTGGTCGACGAGGACGGGAAAATCTCAGAGATTTAAAAGTAAAGGACTTTGAATTTTCCAAACAAGGTGGTGGTGACAAAGAACATAGATATATAAGAATACAACGGGATGAACTAACAAAAAATCACAAGGAAGATACAAATACTGCAGTTGGGAAAATGTATGAGGTGAAAGGTAGGTACTTCACTTAAATAATCACTGTATAAATACTAAGAAAGTTACAAAAAAATACACCCAGGGATGACGATTGAATAAAACATTATGACCTAAGGAATAAAAGGAAGTACAGCAGTCCATAAAACAAAACAAAAATAAAAATTAATCAATTTGAACTCAGGTGCTCCAATTTATGGTGATACATATGTCCTTCATTCTATAAACAAATACAAATTCAATATGTTAGTAATGAAAACACATTCAAAATAACATTAATTACGTCAAAACATGATCTAAGATGTCTGTTATCTTATAAAATGTAGATTTTATTTTATTTCATTGCAGTTTGTAGGTACACACTACACAGAGTAATATTTTAGCATTGAACTGTAATTTTGATTCCTTATTGACCAGTTTATTGTAATTTTTCAGATGATGTTAAGTGTCCAGTTAGGAGCTTCATAAAGTATACAACCAAACTTAACAAAAACTGTGAATATTTCTTTCAAAGGCCAAAAACCACCATAAACGATGACTTTGTGTGGTACGATGCGTCGCCATTAGGACATAACACCCTGGGTGGTATGATGCCAGTGATATGTGAAAAAGCAGGTCTTGTGAAAAGATACACTTACCATTCACTTCGCGCAACAACTGTTCATGTTTTGGATGAGGCTGATTTTGCCGGAAGGCATATTATGTCAGTAACAGGTCACAAAAGTGAAAGTTCTTTAAAAACATACACACGGTTTACATCAGATCGTGCACTGCATAACATGTCAAATGTTATTAGTGAAAGTCTTCGGACAGATGCTACATCTACAACTTCTTGTGAAAAACCTACTGTAGTTCCTGATCGTAATGAAGAAGAAATGGTCCAAATTGAAAATGACACTGACATTATTGACTTTATGCTTTTATCTGATTCACAAATGGATAATTTATGCCAAGATATTACTAGTCCTAACTCTTCACATAGACCGGTGGCTACTTGTGAACAGCAACAACATGTAAATGTTAATAAAACAGCAACATATTCAAGCTACCCATGTATTAACAATTTTGGTAATGGATATCCAAATTATCCCGTCATTACAAACAATTATGGGAATATCAATATCAACTACAATATTATTCCAAAGTAAACTGTTTAATAGACATTTTATGTTTAAACAGTGTGTCAAAGAAACTGTGATTATTGCAAATAACATCTAAATATCTGTTTTCAAGTCTGTTCTCTAATTTTTGCAAAATTAAATTTGTGTTGGTATTAAAAGATTACTTTTGATTATTATTCTTACATAAAAACAAACAAGGTATATTTCAGAGAGATAACTTAACTATTAGCAAATCACAAAAATACCCAATAAATTGTCAAAAAAACAATTAAACATACATGCACATATATATATGGGGTAAATATCAAGGACAACACACTCTTTATTATATTCTGTATTATTGAATAAAACAATCATTGTCTTTTGTTTCGGTAAATATGTGGTTGGCCTCAGTGAATATCAGTTTTTTCAAAAGTCAATAAAACCACATATTTTCCTCACCAAAAGACAATAATTGTATAATATTGATATTTTTAAATGCGTTATAACATATCAGTCATCTGCACTTATTAAAGAGGAACTCAATTATTTTGTCTGCGATGACGTTTCAATAGGACCATATCAATTAGTAATTTATAAATTGAAATTTTAGAACCTTCTATTGTCTGAAATTTTGATTTCCTCATTTCATTCATGCTTTATCTAATCAATTACTACTGATTATTAAATGTTTCATATGTTATCTCGTATGGTCTGTAGTTTATTAATAAGATCAACAAAGAAAAAGTTAGGAAATCTATTTATTATGCCTTTTGTTCGCTACTGTAAAGGGACATTAGCTGCCAAATTTTTGCCAACCGAATTTATGCAAAATCTTAAATGTGATTTAATATATACTGAAACGTAATTCAGAACTACATAAATTCCATTGGAAACAATACACGATGTTATAAAGTATCATCATTTCATTTGTATTCCTTACTGGACGCTATTGAATTACCACGAAAACTACTTTTTCAGCTGACGTTCGTTTCAATCACTTGTCTTGTGAGCACAAGAGCAACCCATAGTCGACAAAGGTTAAATCAAAGGTCGCATGAATACGGATTCAAACGAAGTTGAATAATTGATTTGCAATCCAATAATACATCATCGGTGTTTTGAGCTTATTTTAACAAAACTTACTGCTAATAGGGAAACATTATTTAAAAATTCCGCTTTTATAAATGTTCGAAAGAAGTTATATTTTATTTTTTTGTGTAAATTGTAGCTTATGTTCCTTTAAGGGACGATTTTTTAAATAAATATTCATCCATATAAATAAAAAGAGATGTGAACAGATAAACATCTAGGTGTCAACATACAGTCTTCAGCGACTATATTTGTCAGTCCCTCCTTTAAACAGACACACAAATCCCAAAATAAAAAAGTATCTCCATTCCTCTTTTTTATCGCTATCTTTTATTCCCCCCTTTTTGCTCGTTTTAAGCGTTCTGATAGACCCACACCCAAACGAAAAATCCGATATTTCACAACCCCGATATTTGAGGTTTAAGGAAATATAAATGTACTAGTAATCCTTGTTCTAAGCAACAAAGAACGATTTATACAATGAAATAATATTATAAATCTTGCGTTCCATTCGTTGTTTATAACATATTTGTAATTGGGAGTAAGGACTTTGCAAACGAAAGATATTCTTACATCTAAATCGATGGTAAATCCAATTCATACGCATAAATATATGAGACTCGTTCTAGGTGCTCATCAGTTCTTATTATTAAGTTATTTCAGTTTCAAAGAGAATTTTCAGACTTATCCACTGGCGTAAATATCTCTACTGTTCAGACCACTCGCTTTCCGTCAATTAAGATCTCTTTAGTCTATGTTCAGACTGTTCAATAGTTATAATTTACCTGTAGGGAAAACGGTAGTATTTATTCTTCCATAGGCGACAATACTAACATTTTCTAAATTTACCACTTTTTTACTGGACATAATAGTTATGTGTGGTATTAGTACTTTATTATTCTGTTTTAAAAATTGACGTCAAATAGTATTATGACCATCTTCGAACGGAGCTTGTTTATGGTATCCATGCCCACCGTCACTTTACATCAAATTTATGAAAATTTGGAAGCCTTTTCGAATAATTTTCAGGAAAATATTTCAATGGGTTTCAAAATTTATATTGTAAATATACACACTGCACATTTTTAATTAATAAATAAAAAAAATATATTGTGCCCTTACATCCAATCACAGCGCTCCTAAGTTGACTTCCTTCACCTGCCTTGGGTACACGAAAGGCCAACATAAAGCCGGGAAAATGTAATACTACTTTTTCCCCTGTACAGATCAACTACATACTGAAATGTCTGAGAAGCTTCTGAACAGTACTGAATTGACTGCAAGCGAATTGTCTGAACAGTACTGAATTGACTGCAAGCGAATTGTCCGAACAGTAATAAATTTATCGCAGTCAATAAATCTGAAAATTGACTGAAAGACTGAACATGCATGAAATAATAATTTATTTTTCAGACTTTTCTGATGATGCTAAAATCAAAATGACTGTGTCAGACTAAAATTCATTTTACTAGTGTTATACTTCTTAATTATTTTTAGGAGTTTTCTCCATAGTCTTGAGACATTTTGTGTCTGTATTTATTTTATCGACATCGTTGCGGATAAGCACATACTTTTAGTTTTTATTGAAAAAATCATGTTAAGATTTCTATGTTTATGTATCGATTATGGATGTCAACTCGGTGAACAATAATTATTACTAATCTTGTTGAAAGTATTCGTTGGTTTTATCGAGCGATAATCGAGTACTCGCTCGGGAATATATCTACAACACGGAAACACAAAAAAAAAAACGTACTGTATATTCTATGGTAATTGAATTGTATTAAAGGTAGTACAGTTACTTATAGTTGTAGTTGTAGTTGTTCAACGGACGAAAAACCATCTACATAAGTATCTGGGACAAGGAATTACTACACACCATAATTAAGAGCTCATTACCTACAAGTACTAATTAAGTAAAAACAATAATCTAATCAACATACTTTAATACGAAAGCCTATTAGGGTCACAAAAAAAATATTTTTATCTCGTAATTACGAGAAAACTATCGCGTAATTACGAGATAAGAAGCTGTTTTATCTCGTAATTACGAGATAATTATCGCGTAATTACGAGAAAAACTATCTCGTAGTTACGAGATAAAAATTCATTTGGCCAAGTAGATTAAGAGGAGAAAGATTTTTGTAAAAGATTAAAAAAAATTACTTAATTGCAGAAATGACTTTAAAGGGCAATAACTCCTTAAGGGGTCAATTGACAATTTTGGTCATTTGACTTATTTGTAGATCTTACTTGGCTAAACATTTTTGCTCCTACAGTTTATATCTTTCTATTATAATATTCAAGATAATAACCAAAAACTGAAAAATAATCATTAAAATTACCAATTCAGGGGCAGCATCCCAACAACGGGAAGTCTGATTCGTCTGAAAATGTTTACCCTGTCATATTTGCTCTAAATGCTTTAGTTTCAGAGATATAAACCATAAACTACATTTTACCCCCCCCCCTCTCCCCATGTTCGATTTTTAGCCATGGTGGCTATCGTGGTTGGTTAACGGGGTCTTTGGATACATTTTTTAAACTAGAAACCCTAAGGATGATAAAGGCCAAGTTTGGTTCAATTTGGCCAAGTGGTTTCAGAGGAGAAGATTTTTGTTAAAGTTAACGGACGACGACGGACGACGGACGCCATATGATGGTAAAAAGATCTCTTGACCCTTTGGGTCAGTTGAGTTAATAAAAACGGACGTTTTATCAGGTGCCCCGGAAGGGTAATCATGATCTGTATATATATATATATATATATATATATATATATATATATATATATATATATATATATATGTATGTAATTTTATCTCGTAATTACGAGATAGTTTTCTCGTAATTACGAGATAATTTTCTCGTAATTATGCGATAGTTATCTCGCAATTACGCGATAATTACTTCGTAATTACGCGATAATTACCTCGTAATTACGCGATAATTACCTCGTAATTACGCGATAATTATCTCGTAATTACGAGATGAAAAATTATTATCTCGTAATTACGCGATAGTTTTCTCGTAATTACGAGATAAATATTTTTTTTTTGTGACCCTAATAGGCTTTCGTACTTTAATGAACACCTATTTAAAAATTATAACAAGGAAAACCCATATCTATTCTATTTTTTATTAACTTTGAGCCTTACGGCTCATCAGTGTATTCAAATACAGTGTATACATATGGCATATTACAAACAATATGTCTAGGTTAGTCTATGGAAAGGTATATACTATGAAATTTAGAGCGAGGGGCTTGCCCCGAGCTCTTAATTTCATAGTATATACCTTTCCATAGACTATCCAATTTAGCACATATTTACAACTCGAGTAATCTTTTAATTGGTCTATTGATAATTTATTTTGGCTGACTACTTGTATTACAGGTGTTTGTAAAACGGAGCTCATTAACGAATTTTGTAAATCTACTCACTAGTATCATTGTAAAATATGTGATTTCAAAAGGCCCTTCACTCCAGAATAAAGAGATGGTAGCTGCTGGTGTAAGTATGTATACTGATATAAAGCGGTGTTTTACTATACATGTTCTTCTTACAAGGTAAGATGACAAAATAAATTGACCAAAAGCAGGCAATAATTAAATTGCAGTGGAAGCTTTACATGTTTTGAAAACATTTTTTAATTTCACAGTAAAAGTAAAGCTATAATAAATTTGAAACATATAGATAGTTTGTCCCCAAAGATATAGTCTAGCAGATAGGCATTAAAAAGCAACTACAAATAGATCAGAGATTATAGGTTTTGTGTTTTTTTTTTATTAGTTCAAAGTAAAAACTAAAAGATTTATCAGAATATGTTTATATATATATATATATAGATGGCACATTATCTTCAGACATAATCACAGTTTTTCAATTCATGACATCGTCCTGAACATGCATGAAATATTTGCCACTGGACATTAAGCAACCAATAATCAATAAATCAATCAATTCATGACGAAATAGATCACTTTCCTTAAGAAAGTTTAAAAAATTATCACCAAGTTGCTTTAATTTTCCTTCACAAGGTTTCATAGTACACACTTTTCTGTGTACAAAGTAATTGCATGGATGATACATTATCATAATTTTAAGATATCATTGTACTCTAATCAAGGTATAAAGAACCATATGTATTACCCTTTATTTAAATGATAAAATTTGCAATTGTCAAAAACATTTTTTAGATCCAAAGATTTTAATAGCAGGATATTTAAAAA